GAGGCCCTAACCTGGTGGAAATTAAATTTCAGTCAATTTTCATGCCCCCCTTTTGCCACACCCAGGTGTGCAAAGGACATACCAGCAGCTCAGGAGGTGGTCCCATTTACTCCTGATCCTGGGGTCCCTTGAATTGGTGGTTCTGCTGCCACTTTGGGCAATAAGAATAAGAATAAGTCCAGTGCCCAGGACTCTCCCAGCTCCCGATATCCTGTCCCCACCTGGGGAGCTGGCCTCTGGTCAGGCAGCCATGGGTGTTGCTTTGTGGGGAGCCCACATGTCCTTCTTTGGGGCTATTTTCCCTTTGATCATTATCGTCTCCTTTCCTCCCACTCTCTGTACTGTTACGTTCTCCCTCTGGAAAGTCTTAGGACATCTAAAATGATGGCATCATCTACACAGAGGAGGTCCTATGTCGGTCTGGTTCTCTAAGAATGCAGACCCCAAGATAGGATTAAACATATTGGAGATTTATTGAGGGAGAATGGAGGAGGAGCTGGAGGAGGCCGGGGTAGCATTCAGGCAGCTGCTGCCCATGTAGGAGAGTAGAGTGGAGAAGGGAGAGGTAGAAAGACTTTCAGGCCACACTACGGTACTAGCAAAGTTCTGGCAAGGCCAGTGGGGAGTCCTGGGGCCACGCACCTGTCAGAGGCATCCTGTAATAGCAGGAAAGAACCAGCCTCATAGCTCTGGCGTGCTCAGTCTTTGGTATAATAGAATCCTGGGAGAAGCACTGTCCTCACACCAAAGCCATGGTGGATTCAGAGTGTGGCAGCAGGAGCTGTCTTCAAGCAAGTTCCTCAAAGCCCCACAGTGGCTGGAAAGATCAGCCCTTTTTGCTCTTCATCTAAAGTATCTGGGCTCATAGAGAGAGATGTTAAGCTTATGACGAGTTTAAGCTTAACAGTTTTGCTAATAATAATAGTAAAAATACTTATAAAGCTCTTATATTTAGGAGGCACTACACTAAACCATTTACTCACGTCAATCATCAAGCAACCCGCTGAGGGGCTATTACAATTAGCCCATTTTAGAGATGAGGACCATTATGGGCTGAATTCAGTCTTCCCCTCGACCCCGAAATCCATATGTCGGATCTCGGAATATGGCTACCCTTGAAGATAGGCTCTTTATAGAGGTCATTAAGGTTCAGTGATGCTTTTAAAGTGGGCCCTAATCTGACTGATGTACTTCTAAGAAGTGAAAATTGGGCGCAGTGATACGCAGAAGGAAGAGCATGTGAAGATTCAACAGGAGGGCAGCCGTCTACAAGCCAGGGAGAGGAGCCTCAGGAGAAGTCAAGGCCTGTTGACCGCTAGGTCTTGGCTCTGGAATTGTAGCGAAATAGATTTCTGATGTTTAAGCCCCCCAGTCTTGGTGCTCGGTCAGAGCAGCCTCAGCAGACTTGCATGTGTATAAGGATATTGTGGTGTCAGGGGGTCAAGTCGGCCAAAGTCACAGGGCCAGCACCCAGGAGAGACAGAGCCCGTCTCCAACGCTCTCCTCCAACGGCCTTCCTGGCTGGGCAAGGGCTACTCAGTAACAGACCCTGATGACAAAGTGAATCAGGAAGGTCACAGAGACAGAGTACAGCCAGGCACACCGGGAAATGCGCGTGAAAGGGGCCAGGGGACCTGGCAGCAGAGACACAGGGTTTCACATCTTCCTTTATCATCCACTGGCTGCGAGATCTGGATCGGCTGCGAGTCTTGTTTTCTGAACCACAGTTATATTTTGTGCCAAAATGGGAGTATTAGGTTTCTCATGTCTCACTGAGCTGTGCTAATAATTGAGTAAGATAATTATATAAAATTGTGGAGAGAGGGAAGGGCAGAAGGCAAGAACTGGAATTTGCTTTATATAAATATTAGTGTGGTTGTTATATATTATCCCTGTGTTAGCTAACGTGAATCATAATGTGGAAATGTTAGAGCATCAGCTTTCCATGCTGTTCAAATTATATATGTTTAGTTGCCAGAAATTCATGGACACAGCAGATTAAAAAGTCCTGTCATCCAAATGGCTCTCAGAGCTAATGGCATTGATGTCCCATCTAGGAGCATAGATCCAGTGAATGATTGCCAGCATTTAGGTAGTAAAAATAGCTGGCATAGACTGAGTTTGTATTATGTGTCAAATCTGGTTCTAAATGACCTAAATATAATAATTCATTTATGGCAGTCTTTTTTTTTTTTTAAATTGAGACAATGTCTCACTTTGTTGGCTGCACTAGAATGCCATAGCATCAGCCTAGCTCACGGCAACTTCAAACTCCTGCATTCAAGCAATCTGCCTGCCTCAACCTCCTGAGTAGCTGGGACTGCAGGTGCCAGCCACCACACCCAGCTAATTTTTCTTTTTTTAGTAGAGACAGGGTCTCACTCTTGCTTATACTGGTGTCAGACTCCTGAGTTCAGGCTATTCCCCAACATTGGCCTCCCAGAGTGCTAGGATTATAGACATGAGCCACCATGCCTGGTCTGTTTATGGTCATCTTAAGAACAATTCCATAAGGAGAAACTATTATCCTGTTCTTGCAAATGAAGAAACTGAAGCCCAGAGAGGTTAAGTAACTAGGTTAAAGTCAACCAGCTAAGTAAGTGGAAGTAACTCAAGCCCATAATGGCTCCTGGATTGGACATAGATTGGAGAAGAAATGAGGCATCTAGGATGGTTTCAGGATCTTTCCAGAGCATCAAAGTAGCAAAATTGTCCTTCTTTGGGTTGGGAAAGATTTTAGCAATTAATTTTTTTTCGGGGGAATTCAGTTTGGACACGTTAAGTTTGAGATTCCTATTAGGTGCTCAAAGAGATGTCAGATAACTCTGGGTCTGGACAATGGGATCTGTGTGCATATACTTGCCATTGGAAGGCCAGGAGATCAGGTCAGATCAACTACAGGGCTTAGATGGAAAGCAAGAGACCCAAGAACTGAGTCTGGGCATTCCAGGGTCCAGGAAATAAGGCCTCAGCAGAAGAGACAGAACAAAAGCAGTGGCCAGAGAACTAGCAATAATCAAGTGAGTGTGATTTCCTGGAAGAAAATAAAGTAGGCAGGGAAGAGGGCGACCAGTTGTGTCAGATGCTGCTGACAGGTGGACTAAGTGACCCTTGGACTGAGCCATGTGGAGGACAGGAGAGCCCTAAGAAGACTGGCTTTGGTGGGCAGGTTGGGGATACCTGGACCAGGAGAGAAAGGGAGGCAAGGACTTTGCTACAGTCATTTCAGAGTTTTTCTTAAACAAGGAAGATGAGAAATAGAAGAATAGCTGAAGAATGTATTTTTATTTTAAATTTTAAATGAAAGGACTAAAAGCATATTTGTAGACAAGAGGAATGGCCTAACAGAAAGGAGAAAGTCATTGATGAAGTGTGGCGTGCGGGTTTCTGGAGGAATTCCAGGAGTAGATGGAAGGAGGCGAGATCTAGTGTCCAAGGACAAAGGTTGGCCTCTGTGAGAAGCACAGCCAACTGCAGTAGAAGGCAGAAGCCATCAGTCACATGCAGGCAGGGGGTGGTGGGAGAGGCTGCAGCTCTCTCCTGATTGCTTTAAAGTCCTAGCACGTTTACTAAGCTTCCACGCTGAGCTCCCAAGTTGAAACTGAAAGCTCCTTCCTGTGTTTAACATCACTCTTCACTATGATCACAACAAAACCTGCCTCACGGGTGATGATAGCTGCTCGGGCCCCTGCCTTTCTTCCCCACTAGCCCGAGAGCTGGCGGAGGGCAGAGAACATGTCTCAGCAGACGCCCAATAAATAGCTGATGCACATAGAGCTTGAAAACTGATTTTGCTTGAATTATAGGAATCGATCACTGTTATCTTCTGTATGGAGCAGTGGGCAAAGGGTTCATGTTTCGATACGGCTCTTCTGTTAACCACTGTATTAGCTATTTCTTACTGAATTTAACATTTAATATTATTGAACTTAATATTGAAACGTGTGTGCTTTTCTTGTTTTTACAAAGATTTGGACTTTAGTTGGGCCATGGCCGCATCCTCAGAAGAGTTACAAAACGTGAAAGGATGCAACAGCTCCTTTGATAATTGACAGAAAGCATTCAGTTTGTCCGGTTATTTGTGTGTGTGTGTGTTTTAAGGATGAGGGTAAATTTACCATCAAGGATGCATTAGAATTGAAATCTACAGGAGTTAGTATTAATCTAGTGCCAGAGGATCACCCCCTCCCCGCCGAGCCAGAACCGCCTAAGGCATGAAAGATACACAATCACTCGGATGTGTTGTGATAGAAATTGTGCCTCCCGACCTCCACTTAGTATTTTATTAAGGCTTAGAAAAAGAGGAGGAAAGAAAAGGATCTGCAAATGGACTAATTTTCTCCTGTATATCTTTTCAGCAAACTTCAAGTGACACTAAGGTTAAGGTCAAGTGTAATAATTAGATCACGTGATGTGGATGAACTCTATCAATGCTCTTTTCTTTTTCTTTTTTATTGTTTGGGATTCATTGAGAGTACAAAGAATTAGGATACACTGATTGCATTTGTTAGGTAAAGTCCCTCTTATAACTGTGTCCCACCCCCAAGAGGTGTGCCACACACTATGACCCCCTCTGCCCTTCCTTCCTCCCCTCTCCCTGGTCCCTCACTGCCCTCACCCCTTGTCTTAGATCATCTACTGCCTTCATATTTATCAATGCTCTTTCTGAAGGAAATTCAGTACAGTGTATTGAACATAGGCTTCAGCCTAGGCTGTCCAATGACTTAGTTTCCTCATCTGTAAAATGGCACGATGACACTTTCTACTTTGTGGGATTGTCATGAGATTTCAAAAATTTAATGCCTATTAAAGTCCCATACACTATCCAGAATATCATTATAAGCCATTATAACTTACTTTCATTATAATGATAATAACTTTAAACAATATAAGCAGGTGGCATTCTCCTTTGTGTTTTCTTTTCTCTTGGTCTATTTTTTCTTTTTGCCTGGTACACTTTCTTCTTTTCCTAATCCTGGCTTTTTCTTCTTCCGATGAAGAAAAATTGATGGCACCAATGAGGAAGAAGAAAACATCGAGCTGAATGAGGAAGGAAGGCCGGTGCAGCCGTCCAGGACGAGCCCCCCGCTCTGTGACTGCCGCTGCTGCGGCCTCCCCAAGCGTTACATCATTGCCATCATGAGTGGGCTGGGATTCTGCATTTCCTTTGGGATCCGGTGCAATCTGGGAGTTGCCATCGTGGAGATGGTCAACAACAGCACTGTATATGTTGATGGAAAACCAGAAATTCAGGTTGGTATCCATCCACAGTGGGAGCTTTTTTGAACATGGTTGTGTAAATAACTTTGCTACATGAAGGAAAGCAGTGTGTTCCATTCAGCGAGGTGGCAAATGCGTCACCTGCTACTATGTGCTGGGCACTGTGCAGAGTGATGGGGATGGAACAGTGAACAGACTAGTCTTGGCCCTTGTCCTCATGCAGACAAGTAAGTGACGGCCATGTGGGGTTGCAGGTGCTTTGGGAGGGTACACAGGATGCCGGGGCTCTTATAGGAGGAGGCCTACCCCAGACTTTGATAGTATGAAAAAATTCCCAGAGATAGTGATGGCTGGACCAGACAGAGAGAGTTCTGGTTGGGTGGGAAGAAGAAAGTTTGAAGAAAAAGGAACATCCTGTGTGAAGGAATGTAAAGCGGGGGAGAGTGTGCGTGCAAAAGTGTGCATGTGTGGAAGAGCACAAGTGTGGATACACACACACTACGTGTGATGTGCGAACACGTGGACTTCCTTACTGACAAATCATATGACAACATCATTAGGTCTAAAAATCACTGTAATTTTAAGTTTGAAGTGTAAAACAATTATTTGACGTAGTGGCAATGACGGTAATGTGGTCGAACATTTACGGTTTCCACCAGTGACAGAGTCCCAGGGACTAGTAATACTACTGTGACCTCTTCACCACTTTGACAATTGCTAAAATACTAAATCCCAGTTAAGTTAGTGAAGATAAAGATGTAATTCTTTTCCCTGTCCAAGTTCACAGATCTGCAGGATTCTATCCAAAGACCCCAGGTGGGGAACTGGATGTAGCTAAATAAATGGGGGCCACATCATATAAGGCCAGGAAAACCCCAGAGGGAGTCATGTGTGGGCTTTAAGCAGAGAGGTGATCAAATCTGCAGTCTAGAATGATCACTGCCCAATGGAAGGGGCCAGAGGCCCAGTTCAGAGGCCGTTACAGTTAAAGGCAAGCAAGCTCTGATGTGACTTAAATAGCATCCTTTAGGAACCACTGGAAACATAAAGTCTGTTTTCTATTTCCTTACATGGGGGTAAAAAGACAAAACAAAAATGTTTGCCCAGTGGACACCCCAGGCATACGTACTTCATTGGATTGAGCACACACACTGAAATGACTCATGCAGAAACCACTCATCTGCAGAGAGGCATCTCATAGTTCCCTGGTCCTCGCTCCTATGTGAAGAAATCTTTGGACCAGAGTTTCCCAAACTGATGTCTGGGAAATCACCTCATGCTCTTCATTTCTTGGACTAACTTGATCACCGGTGATGATGCGGCATCTATTAGCGTCACCTGTGACAGTCTCCTATCCAGCATTGGTTTGGGAAAATTTGATTTCAATCCATTAGAAAGAAGTCTTTAGTTGGCCTGCATCTGTTTTTTGTTTTTTTAAAACTAAGAGATTACTCTGCCAGTGGAAAATAGCACCTTGGACACCCTCTAACTAGTCCCTTTCTGATGCCACAGTAGAATGTGTCCCCAAAGGATATCCTGACTTTTCTTGGAGGTGGGGGTGGGGACATAGAGATGGAGGAGCATATCATGCATTTTTAAAATAAAGAATGATATGTGTTAGCAAGGAGGTTTCTGATGTGTATCACCTGCGTTCTTTCAGCCTTTTGTGAGCAAGGCCAGCTAATTAAAACTTGTCTGCCGAGGCCCAGATCGCAATGAGATGCTGTTTTGCATTTGTTTGTTGACTGAAAAGATAGGACTAGGTCAATAGAGTTTGCTCTGAGGTATATGGAAAAGACGTTTTGATAAAGGCAAGGAACAATAGTAGTGTACACTCTACTTTCTTTGGTTTTGTCCTCTGGAGTCTTAGAGAAACTTGATTACGATAAAAAAAAAAAATGCTTTACAACATTGTCTCTGGCCCTGCAAGGAGGGAGTTAGTATTTCAGGAGCGCTGGTGCAACTCCCAGATTTATACCTGGTCCTTTCTCACTTGTTCAAATACGGTAAAGCTTGTTCAACCATCTTACAAAGATTTCACTAATTGTATTAAGAAAGGCTCTGAATGGCCTGTATGTTTGTTTGTTTGTTTGTTTGTTTTGCTTTATGAGGAAACATAGGGCATTTTGCACCAAGATAACTTAAATGCTCCTTTTCAAAAGAGGGACAGAACCCCAGACTGTGCTCCACCGTGGGGAGGGAAAGGTGTCTTTATGTCATTCTTCCCCAAGGGGGAGCGGAGGGCCTGCCAGGAAGGGCAGAGTACAGCCTTGCCTCCGGAACTCTTCACTGAGGTCTCCAGCTCGCTTGCCTCCGGGGGTCTTTCTCCTGCTTCTGCTGGAGAAGGTTCCTTTACCCCGGGTCTCTCCATGGGCTCTTCTCTTTCTCTTTCCTTCCTTTTCTGTGGCTTCTCACTGCCTTCCAAAGCTGAAGTTCCTTAAGCTTTGCTTACCAGGGAGCTGATGCATCTGACCCTGATGGAGTGACTCCGTGGACTTGTTTCAGTTCAGTGTCCACTGTTGTCTGAGTGTGGGTTGCTCTACACACACAGAGGAATGGAGGGAGGGAGAGGCTGATTGGCTGAGTCTAGCCCATGGCTTGGCCCCCTCTGCTCAGGTGTCCAGTGAGCCATGAAAGTCAGCTGTGAGAGTCACCTTGAGGGGAAGGTGGGGTCCTTGGAGAGAGAAGTGTGAACTGGAACTTCTAGCAATTCTTTGCTCTCATTGTCTTATTGTAAAATGGGAGTAAAAGGACTGCTTTGGGGCAGCACCTGTGGCTCAAAATGGTAGGGCGCTAGCCCCATATGCTGGAGGTGACAGGTTCAAACCCAGCCCTGCCCCCCCCCCCAAAAAAAGAGATAATTTCCATGACATGCTTATCAGTTTCCCAAGCCTGTCCTAACAAACTACCACAACCTTGATGGCTTAAAACAACAGCACTGTATCCTCTCACAATGTGGAGACCAAATTCCACAATCAGGCATTGGGATGGCCTCACTCCATCTGAAATCTCTAGCAAACATCTTGCCTTGACTCCTTCAGCTTCTGGTGGCTCCAGGAGTCTGTTCGTTTGTGATAGCTTCACTCTGATCTTGGCCTCCACCTTCACCTGGCTGTCTTCTCTGTGTGTCTCCTATTCTGTCTCAGACCTCCCTTAGCCTCTCTCTTACAAGGGCACTTATCATTGGATTTAGGGCCCAGCTGGATGACTTGGAATGTCTCAAATCAAGATCCTTGAATTTTTCACACCCACAAAGACCCACTCTCCCAATCAGGCAGCATTTACAGGCCCCAGCATCTGCTGTATGTATCTTTTGGGGTCATTTTTGGCCTATACTGCACCTGACGCAGTGCTTGGCTAATTATCATGATGCTTCATATTTGGGACCCTTATGATTATTTTGGCCTTATTTTTAATTAAAATTTATTTTTCTATTTTTATTTTTTTTACAAGAGGAAGGGCTTTATTCACCAGCCAAGAGCTTACGGCATAGAAGAATTCCAAATGGCCGCGCTCCCCCACTGGCTTGGATTTTCCTTTTTATTGACAGTCAAAAAGTTCCACCCCACAGGTGCCCTTCTCATTGGTCAGTTTAAATCAAGTGGGAGATGCTATTCCAGCCCCTACAGAACTATAGGATTTCACAGAACTTGGAAATTTCCAAGTTCCAGGAAGTTAAGTTTACAAATTCCTAAAAGCTAAGTCACCATGGAAAGGACCCTGCAGGTGTATCCTTGTGGTATCCTTGAGAAGACCTGTTCTCCTAGACCTCACCTTTCTCGGGTATCCTCTCTCATTCCCCCCTTTTGAGACTCCAATATATTTTAATTTGGGATATTTATTTTATTTATTTATTTTTAGAGACAGATTCTCACTATGTAGCCCTCAGTAGAGTGCTATGGCGTCACAGTTCACAGCAATCTCGAGCTCTTGGGCTTAGGCGATTCTCTTGCCTCAGCCTTCTGAGTAGCTGAGACTACAGGCTCCCACAACAAGGCCCGGCTACTTTTTGTTGCAGTTTGGCCGTGGCTGGGTTCAAACCTGCTACCCTGGGTATATGGGGCCAGTGCCCTACTCACTGAGCCACAGGTGCCACCCATTAATTAAAATTTTTTTATGATAAGAATAGTTACTATAAGAGCTACCCTCTTAATAAAATGTCTAGTATAGCATAGATTATTACTGACTGTAAGTACAGTATTGAACAGCAGATCTCTAGAACTTATTTGCCTAGCTTGACTGAAGCTCTATGTCTGTTAATTAGTGACTTGCCATTTTCTCCTTCCACCAGCCCCTGACAAGCACCGTTGCACTATTTAATCTTATTACGTTGGAGTATTTTATTTCCTTTTCTTTTTTGTGACAGAGTCTTACTTTGTTGTGCTAGGTAAACTGCTGTGGAGTCATAGCTCACAGCAACCTCAAACTCTTGGGATCAAGCGATCCTCTTGCCTCAGCCTCTTGAGGACTACAGGTGCCTGCTACAACACCCAGTTTTTTTTTGTTGTTGTTGTTGTTGTTGTTTTTTTGCAGTTTTTGGCTGGGGCTGGGTTTGAACCTTCCACCTCTGGCATATGGGACTGGCTCCTTACTCCTTTGAGCCACAGGTGTCGCCCTAAGTTTGAGTATTTTAGATACTTCATGTAAGTGGAATCATATAGTATCTGTCTTTCTGGGATTGGGTTTTTTTTTTTTTTTCCACTGAGCATAACATCCTTTAGGCTTTTCCAATTTGTTACATATTGCAGAATTTCCTTCTGCTTAAAGACTGAATAGCATTCCATTGTATATATTTATGACATTTTCTTCACCTATGCATCTGTCAGGGAGCATTCAGGTTGTTTCTGTATCTTGATAATTATGAATAACGCTTCAATGAACTCAGGAAAGCAAGTATCTCTTCCAGATCCTGACTTCAATTCTTTTTGATAAACACCCAGAAATCAGATTGCTGAATGATAAAGTAGTTCTTTTTTTCATTGTTTGGGATTCATGGAGGGTACAAAGAATTAGGTTACACTGATTGCATTTGTTATATAAAATCCCTCTTAGAAGTATCTCCCCCTCCCAAGAGCTGTGTCACACACCATGACCCCTCATCCCCTGCTCTCTCCCCTCTCCCCACTTGCTCATTCCCCTAACCCCCCACCCTTGTATTAGCTCATCTACTGCCTTCATATCAGAATTGAGTACATTGGATTCTTGCTTCTCCATTCTTGTGATGCTTTACTGAGTAGAAAGTGTTCCACCTCCATCCAGATTAATACAAAAGCTGTCAAGTCTCCCTCTTTTTTAATGCTGAATAGTATTCCATGGTATACATATACCACAGCTTGTTAATCCATTCCTGGGTTGGTGGGCATTTAGGTTGTACTTCCCATGTTCTCAGGCATTTTTTTTGGGGGGGGTACTAAGACCGTAAATCAAATAGGACATGGATGCTATCTTAGTTTCTTGCTACCCTGTGTGGGAAAGGGACATGTGAATGGCTAGTTTGAAGGCAGCACACTGTGGGTACTGCAGCCTTAAGGACAGAGGTCTATGGGGCAAGCCTGGGAAAGAGTAACCAGTTCAATCTCAGGTAGTCAGGAAGTTTTCTCAGAGGCAGGGACATGTATAAGGAATCTGAAAGAATGAGTCACTTCACCTGGGGAAGAAAATGAGAAAAGATACTAGGTCACCATTTTTTTTTTTTTTTTTTTTAAAAAGACAGGTCTCATTCTGTTGCTTTAGGCTGGAGTGCCATGGCTTCGGTCTAGCTCACAACAACCTCATCTCCTAGGCTCAAGTGATCCTCCTGCCTTAGCCTTTCAAGTAGCTACAGGCCCTAACACAACCCAGATAATTTTTCTATTCTTAGTAGAAGGGAGGTCTTGCTCTTGATCCTGCTGGTCTTGAACTCCTGAGCTCAAGTGATCTTCCACTTGGGCCTCCCAGAGTGCTAGGATTATAGGCATGAGCCACTGTGCTGGGCCAATCACCATTTTTCTATGGCTGGGTAGTACTCTATGGTTTGCATATAACACATTTTATTAACCTACTCATGTTTTGATGGCCTCTTGGGCGGTTTCTGCATCTTCGTAACTATGAATTGTACTGCTACCAATATTTGAGTACAAGTGTCTGTGTTTTAATTGTCTTTTTTTCCTTTGGGTAAATACCTAGTAGTAAGATCGGTGGATCCAATGGTAGGTCTACTTTTAGTTCTTTGAGGTATTTTCATAGTACCTCTAAGTCAACAGCACAAGAATGGAAGAACACACCGCATGTACCCAAGACTAAACTGGAATTAGTCAATCAACACTTCTGTGCACACTTGGAAGGAAAACTCAGTGGAAATAAAGTAGGTGGGAAAGTAGAGAAAGGGTTGGGGAAATTCACACCTCACTGGTGCGATGCACACATTTTGGATGCAGGGCACGCTTAACAACTTTGACTTAAAATGTACAAAAACAACTTAGGTAACCGAAACGTGTGTCCACCAGAGATATTCTAAAATAAAAACACAAAAAATAGAAAATGAGAAAAGGAACTCTAGCCCTAGACAATCACATTTTCAATGGCCTAACAGTCATGGAGGGGTCTGTTGTTACCGTCGTCATCGTCATGTAACAGCAATGGCTGCTAACATGCCCTGAGTCTACACGGTGTTCCAGGCACTATCCTAATCTGTTAGATCAGTGGTTCTCAACCTTCCTAACACAGCGATGTATTTTCGTTATTACAAAGGGGTCGCAACCCACAGGTTGAGAACTGCTGTGTTAGATGCAAAATCTCTAAGCAGAAGATAACCTATTAGAAACATTCATGCCAATGACCCCCATACTTCCTGTGAGTAGGTAGAATGGGTTTTATTACCCTCATTAAGAAATGACAGACTTAAGATTCTGACTCCCCTTGTGCTTTCATGAAACTGGTGTCTGAATAACCTAGCAAATGACTTCTTAACCCAAGAACTTCTTTTTTGTTTTCTTCACAAGATGTTTTAGTGGTTATTACTATTTGGTGTACCCAATAGATACATGTTTATTCAAATCTGTACGTGTCTTTTTTTCCCCAGCAGGTGAGGGCTACAAGAGCAGGACTTTGTTGTGTTCACTGCTATGTCCCAAGTATGCACGATGCCCTCCATGAACCTGTTGGATGAAAGAAGAATCTCACGAGGCTATTGTAGGATCACTGGTGGAAAATGAGGGTCCAGTGTTTTCTGACGAACACAGCTGCCTCTGATTTCTCTTTTCCAGACAGCACAGTTTAACTGGGATCCAGAGACGGTGGGCCTTATCCATGGATCTTTTTTCTGGGGTTATATTGTGACTCAAATTCCAGGTGGTTTCATTTCGAACAAGTTTGCTGCGAACAGGTAAGATAAGCTGATAGAAGACGGGTGCTGTGTACCTTTATAAAACCTGCCTAGTCTGCTCTCAATTTAGGGGTACAGATGGAAAAACAGGAGCCTTCTCAATAGATGTGATTCACAGGTCTTGGTTCCAAATGGCCCTATTCTTAAGTGTCTCTTTTATTTACCTTTCCTCAAGTGTAATTGACCTTACAACTCTTTAAGTGATTGTGTGCTAATAGGAACAATTGACTCTGAGTCGGGAGAAATGGTGCCTGTCCCCTAACTGGTTCCCTGGGTTCCTTGAGTTACTTTCCCTCCCTTTCTGGGCCTCACTTTCCTCATCTGTGAGGTGACACACTGGGTTAAATTGTGTTTCGGTTCCCCCTGGCCAGTGACATTCTATAATCTTACTAATACTGCCTGGTACCAAAAAGGTTTTGTCACATGAGTAGTGGAGGCTTGTGTACAGACTGCAAGGTGTGTCCTTGAGACTTTATAACAGGTGTTTGAGCAATTGAAGTGTCCAAGAACAGAACGAGCTGTCTCAAGAAGCAATGAGTTCTCTGTCACTAGAGGTATTCAAGCAAAAGAGGATGGCCACAGGGGGGAGATGTTGTCGAGTGTATCCCGTACCAAAAAAAGGCATGAGCCAAATATCTCTAGGTCCCTTCTGGTTGTATTTCTCATGTGACTTCACATAAATGAATTTCGTGAAGTGGATTACATTACATCAAGCTATGTTTTTCAAATTCTAAAATGTAACTCATTAGATGGTTGTGAAATAAGTATAGTGCTTTACCAATGAGCATTTTTAAAAGAGAAGATGATCAAATAGAATAAAACTGAACAGAAAATCTCTGAGTGCATTGTGCTCAGAGAATGGCAAATGTTGGTTTTTGACACTTTTGTGTGTATGCGTATGAGGTTACAACATAATACATTTTGTTTATGGGTCAAGGTGAAAAAGGTTTGAGAGGTACTATCCCTGGATCTCAATGTGTCTAAACACAACTGTGTTTCCTTATGTTCTTGTCTAACTTGTGTTTTTTACTTACTGGTACTTACCTATTGCATTCTTTTTAAAAAGTGATAAAATATTGGCTACTATGGTCTCCTCGGTTACCACTTACATCTCTTCCCTAAAAAGAAATCAGACACAATCTGATTTTCCAGCATGTAAAAGGGGCTGAAGCATCATTCACAGGGGTGCAAAGGGGAGACCATGCTGCCTGCTCTCTCCTCCCAGGACACCCTGGGCCAGGCAGGGAGGAGAAGGATAGTGGTTCTGGGCTGAAGGCAGGTGCACAGCCTGTTCTGTGCCTGGCTGGTTCCAGGACACAAGATGCTTCTTGGCTGGTCAGTATCCTTTTCCGGAAAACTGAGAGCAGCTCTGGGAAACAGGAGACAGGACCTCAAACATGTGAAGTCTTGAGATAATAGGAAGGGTGTGTCGGGGAGAGCCAGGTGTAATGGTGGGTGTGCAGCAAGCTCACCTCAGCCTGTCAATCTCCAAACTTCCAGGGCACCATCCAAGCAGGACATCCGGTACTGCCAAAAATGTGTCCATAATTGGTCCAGAAACCAGAGCTTGGGAATCAAAGCAGCCTAAGAGTCCAGCTCAGGGCACACCGGACCCTGGCACAACGCTAACTCAACATCTATTTCTCTAAATTAATTGTTATTAATTTCTATAGGGAGCTATCATGAATTGTTAGCTTTGTTTCTGGTGTTTAGTGGTAGTGCCACACCCACTAGTGGGACTGCCCGGTGACACAGTGCCTTGGTCCCTCAGGGTCTTTGGAGCTGCCATCTTCTTGACATCGACTTTGAATATGTTCATTCCTTCCGCAGCCAGAGTGCATTACGGATGTGTCATGTGTGTCCGAATTTTGCAAGGTCTAGTGGAGGTAGGAGATATTTTTCTTACAGTTTTCGGTACTTCTCAAGACAGCCTGGTTCTTTGGAAAATTCAGCTTTTGAAGGAAACTCTGTAAACTCTGTTTACTTGGGTTTCTCCCCCCTGTCTTCCTGCTTATTCTGCTTTCTCAGCTCTCATGTTATAGCTATAATTACACATTTTTATTTATTTATTTATTTTCGAGTCAGACTGTCACTCTGTTGCCCTGGGTAGAGTGCCGTGTTATCATAGGTCACAGCAACCTCAAACTCTTGGACTCAAGAAATCCTTGTGCCCCAGCCTCCTGAGTACCTGGGGTTACAGGTGCCCACCACAAACGCTCAGTTAGTTTTTCTATTTTTAGTAGAGATGGGGTCTTGCTCTTGCTCAGGCTGGTCTGGAACTCCTGAGCTCACACAATCCACCTGCCTTGGCCTCCCAGAATGCTAGGATGACAGGTGAACCTCCGTGCCCAGCTGGTTACAAATACCTTACTTGAAATATCTTGTGTGATTCTACATTGATGCACAATGAAGGACCATTCCATAATGATCTGAGAAATAATGTAAATCTCCTCCCTTTGGGCCGGGAGAGGTGGCTCATGCCCATAATCCCAGCACTCTGGGAGGCTGAGGCGGGTGGATTGCTTGCACTCACCAGTTTAAGACCAGCCTGAGCAAGTGAGACCCCATCTCTATTAAAAATAGAAAAACCAACCTGGCATTGTGGCAGGCACCTGTAGTTCCAGCTACTAGGGAAGCTGAGGCAAGAGGATTGCTTGAGCCCAGGAATTTGAGGTTGCTGTGAGCTATGACTCCACGGCACTCTACTTAGGGCAACAGAGCGAGACTGTCTTGGGAAAAAAAAAAAAACAAAAACCTTCCTTTTAAAAGATGCTGAAACTGAAGCCAAAACCTCTAGTTCATGGATAGCCAAGTTTGCCAACCTTGATGTAAAGCCGTGTTTCCCGAACTCAGTTGTTTGCTTTAAACCTGCATCACTGTGTTATATCCAAGTATGATGTGTTCTATTACTCGCCTATATTGTTTTTCTCTAGATCAGCTCACTTAAAACAACAACAACAACAACAACAACAAAGCCCTTATGCTAAGCAACAGATCTTTGAAATCCTGGGTCTGATGTGCTAGTTACACTTTTTTTTGGGAAGCATATTAGAATATATATAACAATTATAATTAAGAATACAAGTTGTTATGGCACCTCAAATCCAACTCTAGTCCCACTAGAGGGACAAAATACCACACTCTGGGAAATTCTGATGTGGTGGAAAGAATGTGATATTAGCAGCCGTGAAGACTAAGCTCTGTTGACTTAATGGCCCTCAATCTCAGGTTTCCCGTCTTGAAATGAGAGGATGAGCCAACTGATGGTGGAAGTGCCTCCCTGCACTGATTTTCTGTAAGAATATGAAACATAAATACAGAGGCCTTTTTCTCGGGCTCCACTATGCTTCCATGTGAGCTGTATCTGAATTTCAGAATCTGTGGGATCTGTGTTGTGAGTCAAAACCAGCTAAATCATACATACTATTGACTGTTGGTTTTTGTCTGTTTGGGCTGCTTCAACAGAATACCATAAACTGGGTAGTTTATAAACAGCAGAAGTTTATTTCTTAGCTTTGGAGGCTTGGATCTGAGGAGGTCCAAGATCGAGGCCCTGGCAGATTCAGCGTCTGGGGAGGACCTCTCTCTGGTTCATAGACACTGTCTTCTATGTCTGCACGTGATGGAAGGGGTGAGGGTGCTCTGGGGGGTCTCTTTTATAAGGTCACTCATCCCATTCATGAGGGCTTCAGCCTTATAACCTAATCCTCTCCCCAAAACCCATCCCCAAATACCATCACATCAGACATTAGATTTTAACATATAAATTTGGTTGGAGGGCACAGGCATTAAATTGGTCTTTTACATTGTAACCTGTGTAAAGAAGCAATGTCCATGTTTTAAACCCAAAGAGAAACTGGAGTCAGATCAAATGATCTATTTTCGACCCTTCTGCCAGGGTGTGACCTACCCAGCCTGCCATGGAATGTGGAGTAAGTGGGCACCACCTTTGGAGAGAAGTCGACTGGCCACAACGTCTTTCTGTGGTATGTGTATTAGAATTACAACAAGTTTTATTTAAGAATGCTTTTTTCCCCTTCAAGTCACCAAAAAATCTTACTCATGTCCTAAAAATAGTCTTTAAGAAAAAAAAAAGTATATAAATTTGGGGGTATAGTGCATTGTGAACCTGGGCTTTTTAGTGTTACCGTCACCCGAATGGGGACATTGTACCCATGAAGTAATTTTTCATCCCTCATCCGCCATCATCCAAACCTCATACCCTCTCTCATGCTTCCAAGTTTCTCGTGTCTAATATTTCATTCTCTGTGTCCATGGGTCTACATTATGTAGCTCCCAGTTGTAAGGGAGGGTGTGTTACATTTGACTTTCTGAGCTATTCCACTTAAGACAATGGCCTCTAGTTCAATCTGTATTGTTGCAAAAGATGTGATTTCATTCTCTTTCATGGCCGAGTAGTATTCTATGGCTTGTGTGTGTGTGTGTGTGTGTACCACATTATCCACTCATCGGTTGATGGGCATTTAGGTTGACTTTGTGTTTTTGCAGTTGTAAATCGTACTGGCATAAATATTTGGGTAGAGGTGTATTTTTGATAAAATGACTCCTTTTGCTTTGGGTAGATACTCACTAGTGGGACTGACACGTGGGATGGTAGGTCTACTTTTAATTCTTTGAGGAATTTCCACAATGTTTTCCATAGAGGTTGTACTAGTTTACGTTCCCACTGACAGTGTAAAATTGTTCCCTTTCCACAGCAGCCACACCAACATCTATCGTTCTTTAACTTTTTATTAATGGCCTTTCGGACAGGAATAAAGTGATAGCTTATTATGGTTTTAATTTGTAATTTTTTGATAAATTAGTGACATGGAGCATTCATTCATATGCTTGTTGGTCACTTGAGTGTCTTTAAAAAGATTTTTTTTTTTTTCACATTACAGAATTCCAAAGATGAGTTGGAATTGGTCGGTCTTGGTTCTGCTGCTTGGTCCCATCCAGGACCTGGGCATGTTCTGACTTTCTGCTCTGCTCTCCCTCCAGCTTTTAACTCTCATGCTTATTCTCTCTGCCCCCTTTATCAGGAAACAAAAGCTTCCCCGAAGCTCCCTACCATGCCCTCCAGGCATTTGAATTTTGTTGGCCCTCACTGTGTCGTGTGCTTTACTGAGCACAGAGGAGGCTAAGAAAGCCTCACTTCTCCGGCCTCTTTGCAGAGAAGAGGAAAAGAGAAGGGTTGGAAGTGGTTGTGGGTTAGTAAGAAATGACATTTGCCAAGGGTAAATCCGAGGAGATGGGTTCATCCAGTCCCCCACTCCTTTTTATAATGAAATTAAAGTTCAATGCTTTGCCCAAGTCATGGAGCTATAACAAGATCACTGAGTATTTGATCCGGAACTTTCCTTACTACCCACTACTGCCATATCTACATGGTCATACAGATATTTTCCTTAATTTTTGCCATTATATTCCATATAAATCTGAAATGGAGACCATCTATCTTACCTAAGAGTAAATGAGAGGCCCCCACATAATAATGTGACTTTAATTCCTGGGTCTTTAAACTTGCTAAGGCTACCTCACTCCAAGCCGCCCTTTTGGGACCGGCCCTTCTACCTGTGGCTGGGAGTAATCAGTGTTCTGAAGGGTTTATTTAGGTACCAATTAATATTTTATTTCATTTTATTTTTGAGACAGAGTCTTATTTTGTCGCTCTCGGTAGAGTGCCGTGGCATCACAGCTCACAGCAACCTCAAACTCTGGGGCTTGAGACTCTTGCTTCAGCCTCCCAAGTAGCTGAGACTATAGGTACCTGCCACAATGCCTAGCCATTTTTCTCTATTTTTAGTAGAGACAGGGTCTCACTCTTGTTCAGGCTCTTCTGGAACTCCTGAGCTCAAGTAATCCACCCACTTCTGCCTCCCAGAGGGCTGTATGAGTGACTGTACCTGGTCAGAGGTGTCAATTAGTAACAGCAAAATGACCGTACATGCTTCTGCCTTCACCACAGCTAGAAACTGTATGTTTAATATTTTGCTTTTATTAGGAGAAGGCGTCCATGAAGGCAAATTGCCTTAGACCACAAAAGTCACAATATGGCCTGGACACTAAGGATTGAAACTTAGATTTGTCTGATTTTTCAAGCTAGGATGCCATCTCCTAAAACAAGCTAACCTGTACTTCTTTGCTAAGGAAAGAAATAAAACTTTTTTTCCTGTGAATATTTATTGATCTCTTCCTGCTCTTTACCTCTTTTACCTCCTTGAAATACTAATACTAATATTAATATGAATACTATAATACTAATACTAAAGTATTCCTGGGAGTTTGGTGTCAAATGTTGACTAACCTGCCTAGCTGGGCATTGCATGCACAAAGACATGCTGGGATGTCTTTGCTTCTTTAGCCTCTCTTGTCCTTAAACACCATCTCTGGCCTCTCATTTGCAGTTCTAGGTCATCTCCACTCCCACCACTGAGCTCACACCAACTCCAGCAGAGGATAAGACTCTGCCCCAGTTGACCTTGAGGATTGTTAGATCCTTGACCTTGCCTACTACCGGTGATTTATTTGTAAGGCCTTGCATTTTGAGTTGCCAGCAAGAGGAGAGTGATGAGCTGCCATTCCCCAGTCTTAGTGTGTCTTGATGGCCCTAAAAGGGCTGGTTTAAGACACTGTCAGGGAAAAGTTACCAGATCAAGGACACAGGGCTTATTACCTTTTCCAGCTAAGGTGTGGCCTGGCCTTGGTTTCAAAGACCAGCCAAGGGCAAATGTTATTAGAAGGAAACCCAGGCTTGGGGCTAATCAATTCTAAATCTCAAAAGGTAACTGAAGTTGGAAGGGTAGGTGCATGCCACTGTTTTAAGGTTGGGGAAACTGAGGCTCAGGAGGAAAGAAAGATTATTTTTTTTCTTTTTGAGACAGAATCTCACTCTGTTTCCATGAGTAGATGATGATGGTGTCTTAGCTCACAGCAACCTCAAACTTCTGGGCTCAAGTGATCCTCTTGTCTCAGCCTCCCGAGTAGCTGGGACTACAGACACCAGCCACCGCACCCGGCTAGTTGGAAAGAGATTTACATTCTCACCGCTAGTGAGGACAAAACTGGAGACTCTTTCCCTCCCTTGATTCTGCTGCTCCCCCACCCCCCATTCAGTGATTATTTAGGGGCTTAGGGGACCAAGGTGCAGCCCCAAGGAGCAGCAGGGGGCAGCACTGCCGAGTGCCCTGTTGGGGTCTGCTCAAGGGGCTGGGAGCTGACATTAGAGCCATGTCTGAAAGGAGGAGGCTTTTCCTTATAGGGAGCAAGCAGTTCAGGTCACACTGTAAAGCTTCCCCAGAGACAGAATGATGCTCACCCCGGGGAATTACTGGGCATTTCTAAGAAAGAGGCAGGACTGGATGATTAAATGTGGGTAAGGGTTTGGAGACCCACAGACCTGGGCTCCTGTCTGGGAACCCTGTCATTCAGTGCATGTGACCTCAGGTACTCTACTTCCCTCCCCCCTGACTTACTGTCTCCTGGTGAAACGGGGATAATATTGGTCCCTACTTCCTCGGGTTGGAAGAGGGTTAAAGGAAGTCCCGGGTACAGGAATACTTAGTACTTGGCACACAGAAGGCACTAATGGGTCTCAGTGCGTGGTTGTTACTCCCTAACCCCTGTCTCAGATATTCCTTTGTCACTTGAACCAGACCCTCCCACCTCCCACTCCGAGGGTATTTGGCCTGGGGAAGAAGACCACCCTCTGTGCTCCTATAACAGTCGGTCCCACACTTGGTCTGTTCTTTTTTTTTCCCTTTTATTAAGTCATATACACATAGATCATGAATACATTTATGCATCTGTGGGGTACAATGTGTTTTTTTTTATACAATTTGGAATGGTTACATCAAACTAATGAATACAGCTTTCACCTCATTTACTTAATTATTGTGTTAAGACATTTATGTTCTATACTTGGTAGATTTGACTTGTGCCCTTACGATATGCTCTGTAGGAGTGTTCGCCCCGTTTACTCTTGGTAACCTGGGGTGCTTGCCTTATTGGTTTCAGGAATTCTGAGTTTTTTTTTTTTAGTGCTTTGTCATTATGTACATAATAACGGCATTTCTGTAACCCTTTACAGCTTACAAAGCATCTTCACATACGTAATTTCCTTTTTTTTTTGAGACTAAGCCTCAAGATGTCCCCCTGGGTAGAGTGCTGTGGCATCACAGCTCACAGTAACCTCCAACTCCTGGGCTCAAGTGAGTCTGGTGCCTTAGCCTCCGAAGTAACTGGGACCACAGGCACCTGCCACAAGGCCTGGCTATTTTTTGGTTGCAGCCCTCATTGTTTGGCAGGCCCAGGCTGGATTCGAACCTGCCACTTTAGGTGTATGTGGCTGGTGCCTTAGCCACTTGAGCCACAGGCGCCAAGCCCACTTACGTAACTTCATCCTCCAAGCAACACCACAAGATAGGTATTTCACTCCCATCTTATCTCTGAGGACATTGAGTCCTTTGACTTCCTCAGATGTCCGGAATTTCAGATTCCAGATCCCAGGTTGGACTTTGCAGAGGCTCAGGCCCAGCTGGGAAAGATGTGACTTGATCTATTTCTCTGGAAGACCCCTAAACTCCCATTTCTTAAAACTCTTCCTTAGCATTGGATCCTAGGATACAGAATTTGCTTTCACTGCTCACTTTTTGTGAAGCAAGAATTTCTTTCATTCCCAGTCCTGGGGGAATTTCCAATAGTTACTTTTCAATTCAGTTAATACGTATTGGGAGTTGGGGGAACTGTGTTTCCCTACTATGCATCCTGGAGCTGCAGAGGGTGGTGGAGGTCAGGTCACTGCCTCTGGCCCTCATTCACCTCATTTATCTTGTCTAGAGAAGATAAACATCCACGCACAGGTAAACATTCCTGAAGTTAAGTCTTTACAAAGTAAGAAATAAACTTACAAATGTACCTATTCTGTAGGCGAATGAAGACAGCGGTCCTTCTGCCATCTTGGAACTTTTTCCCAATTTTTTAAAAATATCAAGGCAATAAAAAAAGCATGATCCTTTTAATCATTTGATATCTCTCATCCAAAAACTTGGCGAGACCTGACGGGCACAATTTAAGGGTATAAGGCACACCTCCTGGGTGAGAGGTACGATTACAACAGGGACCTTACCTAACAGACACCAACACTGTTACCTAGTCGTTTGCATCCTCATGTTAATTTGAGAAAATAAAGATAAAAAAATACAGACCTGATGAGAATCCTCTGAACTGGGCACTTCGAGAAGCAGAGTCCATCTGTTCCTCTGCCTGCTGTCTTTAGCACCCAATATGGTGCCTAGTTGAATTTTCAAGATTTCTTTTAGATTTTTTCGTCCTCTGATTCTATTCCCTCATGCACCTCGTGGTACCGGAACTGTCTTTGTATAATCCTTGTATGATCCCTGGATGAAGTTCAAGGTCATCCTGGTGACCATCCTCTCCTAGATGCCCTGATGAAGGCACGTGAAGTGCTTGTCTGTCTGTGCACGGTGGCGGAGGTGGTCTGACATTGTGATCCATCCTTGAATTTTCCACATGAGCTCTAAACGGGTTGACAAACTTGCCTGTAAGGTGATTGGCAAACCTCCCTCAATCTTTTCCTGTTCCAGGTTCCTATGCGGGGGCTGTGGTTGCCATGCCCCTGGCAGGGGTGCTGGTGCAGTACATTGGATGGGCCTCCGTCTTCTATATTTATGGTGAGTGATTTGACCTCATGAATTTGCATAGTGACTCATAGAGACGGTATTTTACTACATTAGTGTTTGGCTGAGAGTTTATTACGGGGAAATGGAGATTACTAGGACAAATTTATCACATAAATAGAATACTTGTCTACCTGTCAACTCTTGGGCTCAAGCGATCCTCTTGCCTCAATTTTTTCTATTTTTAGTAGAGATAGGCTCTCGCTTTTGCTCGGGCTGGTCTTGAACCCATGAGCTCAGGCTATCCACTTGTCTTCGTCTATTTAATGTTTATATTAAAGTTGACTTTGTTTTATAAAATAAGCATAACATTATCTGTCTTTAAATATTAGTTAACCCTAGGAAAACCAACAAAATGCTTTTTCCTAGCTGGAATATTATCCTTTGGAATATTGTAAAATTGAAAAATTTCAAGATGAAAGAACATGAGACCATATCATCAAGGCTTTTTTTTTTTTTTTTTAACTTCAGGTATGTTTGGGATTATTTGGTACATGTTTTGGCTGTTGCAGGCCTATGAATGCCCAGCAGTGCATCCAACAATATCCAGTGAGGAGAGAACCTATATAGAGACAAGCATAGGAGAAGGCGCCAACTTGGTTAGTCTCAGTGTAAGTACACACGGACAGATGGAGACCTGCCTCTTTTCCCAAGTATTTCTCTTCACGGCTATATTGTCCTCTTATAAGAAAAAGATGTCAATATCTTCCCTAAAAATCTCATCATATTTTTACTCTCTAGAAATTTAATACTCCATGGAAAAGATTTTTCACGTCCTTGCCGGTGTATGCGATCATTGTGGCCAATTTTTGCAGAAGCTGGACCTTTTATTTGCTCTTAATAAGTCAGCCTGCTTATTTTGAAGAGGTCTTTGGATTTGCAATAAGTAAGGTAAACACACGGATGCTTCAGATAGTCCTGAACTTTAAATCTCTTGATTCTACCAAGAACGTCTTTGTGTAATGAAATAATTAGATGGCTGATCATAGTTCATAACCGTTCTCGGACACCTCCTAGCCTGGAGGTCAGAAAAGTTATACATTCTGGGCGTCATATATACATACATAGCTATTTAAGTGCTTCTTAGTTAGGATCAGGCTGTATTAAGCTTCCTTAAAGATTTGCTTTTCTCAATCTCGAAGTATGTTTGAAGCAAGCTAAAGGCCTGCATATTAGGCAAGGATAAAAGGATTTGAGGGTATGGGTTTCTTCTTGTCCTATAAACTACTTAGTGAGTAGCAGCAGACCAACCCTCTCTCCATAAAAGTGGTAAGAGCAGTCACCATTGCTTCTATGGTTTAGAAAGAAACTCTGATAATGCTCTGAGCCATTGTCATTAGGGTGTCTGTGTTTTAGGGAAGCAGGGTTTGGATGGTGAAATATAAGTCATCATAAAATAACTAAGCCTCCTCCCTTCAAGGGAAAAAGCAGCTGCTGAGCAGAGACAGATGTCTGCATGGTTACAGGTGACCAGGTCACAGAAGTGATCAGGGAATAGCTGACATCGTCAGGTAATGGAGGCTGCCATCAATGAGCCCTCCCTGGGTGTCTAGTGCTTCACGTCCTGTGTGTCACACTCTGTGCTAGCCACTGGGGTTTCTAAGATGCATCAAAGTCATCTCTGCCTCGGCTCGGTGCCTGTGGCTCAAGTGGCTAAGGCGCCAGCCATGTATACCCAAGGTGGCGGGTTCGAATCCAGCCCGGGCCCTCCAAACAACAATGATGGCTGCAACCAAAAAATAGCTGGGCGTTGTAGCAGGTGCCTGCGGCCCCAGCTACTTGGGAGGCTGAGGCAGGAGACTCGCTTGAGCCCAGGAGTTGGAGGTTGCTGTGAGCTGTGAGGCCATGGCACTCTACCCAGGGGGACAGCTTGAGGCTCCTGTCTCAAAAAAAAAAAAGTCATCTCTGCCTCGAGGAGTTACCAATGTGGTGGAGGAGACAGGACTAAAATCTTTCACTTATTCGTTGTTTGTTTAAGACAGGTATATCACTTAAAATCATTTGCTCATTCATTGTTTATTTATTATAATAGCCATGACTATCTGGATCCCACAGAATCAGATGCTTAAATTTGGTGCTGGTAGGGGGGCTGTGGAGTCGGGGTGGGCAGGGGGTTAGGGAGGTCCAATAGCTCACTGTTAATTTCCCTTTCAGGTGGGTCTCTTGTCAGCTGTCCCACACATGGTCATGACAATCATTGTGCCTATTGGAGGACAACTGGCTGATTATTTAAGAAGCAGAAAAATTTTGACCACAACCGCTGTCAGAAAAATCATGAACTGTGGAGGTACTGTGGATTTCATAGGTGGCCTAAGCAGCTTTTGTAGAATTAGACTAAAGGGAAATGAAGAGCATTATGTCTCATCACTGGGATAGGGCTCAAAGATCCTGAAGCCCATTCCCCAGCGGCCATCCAGCCTAGACTTGTGCAAGCTGAGATGTGACCACTTAGCTGATGGCTGATGAAACAGGACACACCTGCAACTGCAGAAATGTCCCTTTCACCTGCTCGTAGGCCCAACCAACATGATTTCCAGCCACGTATCTGCCTCTTGCTTATCCTTTCATATGTCCGTCCACATTTATGACTGGTGTGTGTAGCTCATTCCCTTTTCTCCTTCTTCCCTTTCTACCTTTCTATAGCTAAGAAACAGAAGAGAACTGTTTCCTCTGAATAGTCTTTCGTCCCAAGCTCTTATACATGGGTACACACACACGCACACACACACACACACACACAAAACAAAACAACAACAAACCGTTCTCTTTCCTGGCTTATTTAGTTCCTGCTTTAGGCTTTAGTTTTGTAAAGACGAAGTGGAAGTTAGGTGATTTCCCCAAAGAAGCCGGGGAAAGTAATCGGGAAGCTCTGAAATGTTCGTGACAGCTGACCTTTTTATACACCTCCATTTTCTTATCTTTTTTGGCTTTTAAATTAGTATTTGTTGAGTGCTTTCTGTGCCAGACACTAAGTGAAGTCTTTTGCATACGTTATCTTATTTAAGCCTCATGCCCACCACATGGAGCTGGCCCTATTAATATAAGCAATCTGTAGAGAGGAACCAAAGGTGAAATCAAGTTACTTGCTCAAGGGCAGCTGTCTGGGAGCTATCAGGTCCTTCTGGGTACACTATGGAGGCCCGTAGACACTCTTTGCTGCCACCTCTGCAGGGGACTGGAGTCAGGTGGAGAGGATTGCGCCACCGATGGTCAAGAGGTCATGGCTGTGATATTAAATTGAAAAGGAGGGAATGAACATACTCTGATTCCAGATGAGACCGGTTAGGTCACCAGTTAGAAGTGACTCTATGGAGGGACACAGGAGGGGGTATGATGTGATTCCACAGTCTTTTGGGAGTGAAGTCTTACCAGTGAGACCAGCTGGTTGGCTCCTATTCTCCCAGCATCTTGACTGCTGGTCCCAGGCAGGGATATTTGGACCTGCCCTTACCTTGAACTTGTATGTAGCAGGCCGAGGTTGACAGGTTCAGGCCTGCTTTCTGCTGGGCAGAAGGTGAAGCTCTGGGGACATGACATTTAGGCCCTCTTCAAGGTGGCTGTAGTGGGCAGAATAATGTCCATGTCCTGATCCTCACAACCTGGGAATATATTTCCTCACATGTCAAAGGACTTTGCAGATGTGGTTAAATGGAGGTTCCTGAGGCAGGGAGGTGACCCTGCATCGTCTAGTTGGGCCCCAATGCAGATCATCTCCCAACCTCAAGAGCACGTGAGGAAACGTACTCCTCACCACGCTGGCCAGCTCACTCTCTCTTTCACCCTGAGTTCCGCTCACCCTCACCTCTCGGCCCAGTGCTCTCCCCGGATCCTTTTGCATTCTGCTCAAGTCTTCTCTGGGTTTCTTTACAGCCACGTCATTCCCCAGTGATCCCTCTGAATTTGTTCAAATGACCTGGTTGGCAACTCATCATGTGCTACCTTGTCACAGCTCTGTCAGGAAAATGTTTTAGGCAGAACGAACAGCCCCTGCAATGGCCCTGAGGCAGGCACAGAGGTGGCATGTTTGAGAACAGATGGGAGGAGAGCCATGATGGTCGAGTGAGGTGGAGAGTATTGGGAGATGCTTGGTTGGGGTCAGACCATGGCTGGCCTGGTTGACGTACGCAGAGCTTGGGTTTTATTTGAAGCGCATTGGGAAGCAAGTGGTTTAAAGTAGGGGAAGAAAACCCATGATCTATGTTTTCAAATCTGGAGAATGGAATTCAGTAAAAGAAGGGAGGCGGGAGGGAGGCTATTTCTGTTGCCCTGTCAAGAAAAAATGGCAGCTTACACTAAACTGATGGCAATGGAGATGGAGAGAGGTGGATGGATTTCCAGATTCTCTGAGCCAGCTTTCTTCTTTAAAATCCAAATAAGAATGTTCACTTCAGATGTTAGTCAGGAGAGGTAAATGAAACAACGTAGAAATGGTGTCCAGCCTATGGAAGGCTCTCAACAAATGCTAATGCCTTTTTCTCCTCCTGTGTTGGAGAGACTCAAAAAAAAACAGGATTTTTCAAAGGAGGTATTCAACAAATATCTGCTACTCATTTGTACTTCCCTTGACCAAAACTAAGCACTTGAAACCAGCCACTTGGAAGAAAGTTCTGGATTTAAATACCATTTGCATAATCTCTACTAAGCCCAGAGCTTTGAAGATTCTTGAACACGTTTTGTGGGGAGGTCTTATTCACATGTAATCTGCTCTGATACCCCGGCTTAACTGGTAGTGATGGCCTTGGGAGGTGCTGCTGAGAACCCTCAAAGACATCTAGTTACTAACCAGGTGCCTGCTGTAGAGCAAATCTGTGTTTCTGAAGAAACAAGAATGCATATATGGACTCTCCCTGCTCCCCTCCTATTTTTATTTTAATTTCGGATTAACATGAATGTACAAATGATTAGGTCACAATATTTGCATTTGTTAGGTAAGGTCCATGCTGTCCTCATGTCCCTCACACAGGAGGGTAGTCTGAAATGTTGAAACAAAATTAAGAACAAGTAAGCGATAGTCTAAAGCCCACAGTTTTTACAGCACTTCCGCTTCCCTAATTTCATGGGATCCTCTTTTGAACTCATCTAAAGCAGTGTGTGAATGAATGAGACAGCGTTCTGTGATTAAGAAGTGGCTGATGGAGCTGTGTGTCCACAGCACGGGGGCGGGGGGCGGTAAGCGGATAGGAGCAACTAGTCAGAAAGACAGTTGTGTGGCGAATGGACCAGGGGAAGAGGAGGTGGAAAGACCACCAAAGAGCCCATTGTAGTGTCCTGGTGAGAGGTCCTGGGCCAGGACTGAGGCAGTGGCAGAGGATGGGAAAGTGGAAGTCGGATGGGACAGGTGTTTCTGAGGTTGAACCCACAGATTTTATGTGAACGCTGAAGAAGTCCCAAGGTGATCCCCAAGTTTCTGCATTGGAGTTAAGGGCTATCAATTCTTGAGCCGTGCCCGTGTGTCACAGTCAATATCTTATAGATTCAATTCCATTTAATCTTCCAAAGCCCAGAAGCTTATATTATCTCTATTTTTTAAGGACAAGGAATCTCGGAGGGAAAGTAACTTGATCAAGATCGCACACTTAGTGATTTTGAGGTGGAGTTTGCACACTTGCCTGTCGGAGTCTACTGAAGTCTGGGCTCTGAATACACGTGGACAGAAGGTTTATTTAGAGAAGGGGAAACGAGTACAAGGTGGTGGCGTTCTGCTTAGTTTTTAGGGGTAAATAATAGGGGAAAAGAGCCTTTGATTTGGGCAAGTTGCCTTTGAGGTAACTAGGACAGTCGTATGCGGAGATGTCTGGAATCAGCAGCCAGTCTCCAAATGAAGCATCACTAATTGTCCCCCCACCCTTCCCAGGGCACGTCATATACTTGGAAATGGTATTTATATCATCTTTCTGTCTGCTGTTGGCTGAACTTTTTTTTTTTTTCTTTTTTCTTTTCTTTTTGGTCAGAAGGAACTTCTCCACAATTTCCTCATTTTTTTTCATTGTGTTAGATGCACTTATTCTGGATGAAAGGAACAGAAAGTACTTTTGTTCTGCTATATTTTCTGTGCAAAAATGTCATTTTTCAAAAAGAGGCCTCAGAGCATGGAGAACTTCTGAAATGGAAGGTTTTTTTTTATTGTTTCAGGTTAGTTTGAGGGTGCAAAGAATTAGGTTACAATGTTTGCATTTGTTAGGTAGAGTCCCTCTTATAATTGTATCCTGTTTTGTTAGGTAGAGTCCCTCTTATAATTGTATCCAACAATTATAAGGCATACCATACATCTAACAGGCATACCATACATCGTGACCTCCCCCCCTTCCCTTTCCCCTCTCCCTGCTTCGTCACCCCCCCCCCACTTTGAATTGATTTGAGTTTTTCTTTTATGTGGGCGTGTAGTAGATCATCTTCTGGTTTCATATTAGTATTGAGTACACTGGATTCTTCTTCCTTGAAATGGAAGAATTCCAACTTATGTTTTACAAGGGCCAAGGGGCTGCTTTGTGTTTCAGAGATTCACTGCAGCTTTCTGGTTGCTTTTGGCAATAAACGTTAGAGAGTTATTTTATTTTGATGTGAAAGACCGTAACTTAGGTAGTCAAAGGGGAATCCTTGGCAGCATATTGACAAGTTTTGTTATTTAGCAATGGCAGAGGTAACCACCTGAAGCAACCAACCAACCACTAATTAACGCCCCTCATCCCAGGAGCATCACTGGAACTTATTGGGACAAAGTATTGGGTATACAAAGTATTGGGTGTACAAAGTCCACCAGAATAATTTTAGGCCATGAATGAATCCTTCGGTAAAATCAGCATAGTTATGTAGCCATGAACCACCTGGGTAATACTATTAGCTCTGCACCAGAATGTATGTACTAACTGCTTAGCTCTGCAGAAATATAGATTAATTCTTACTTGAGAAATTAATGAACTTGGATGGACTGCATGAAACTGACATTTCCCCCTGATGTTTCCATTTGCAGGTTTTGGCATGGAGGCAACCTTACTCCTGGTGGTTGGCTTTTCCCACACCAAAGGAGTGGCTATCTCCTTTTTGGTGCTTGCTGTAGGATTTAGTGGCTTTGCTATTTCAGGTAAAGTGTCCTTTGGGTTTCCAAATCTTGTTTATAAAGTCAGCAAGTCTTGGGAGGGAGGGGGGACAAGGATACGGTAGAGCCTTCTTTCAAGCCATTCCCAAGGAGCAGGGGCAGCGCCTAGAGAATTTCATCTAGTGGGAGTGGCATTGTAAGATCACTGAGGATTGGGCTTGGGGCCCACTCAAGCTGGAATTGTCCCCACCTACTGTGCCCTGGGCAAAAACACAAAATGCCAGTGGACCCACCACCTCCTGAGGCCCACGCAGAGGTCCAAATATGTGTCCTGGGTGAAACAGACTTTCCTACTTCAGCACCTGGCCACTCTACCTACCAGAGGCTCTTGTGACTTTCAACCTTCCCCTCTTGCTACAGAACTGCTAATGTTGGCTCAAATGATGACATCACATGTCATCTAGTCATAGAATGAGCAGTGTTTTTGTGAGTGAAAGACTTCTTGAGGTCTTTCCTTACTCACATTGACTTCGTTTTCCAAACAAGGAAATGCAGGTGCGGAAAGGGGAGGTGACTTTCCGAACAGGGTAGAGCAGGTAACAATTATAAGAATGATGATGTGAGCTGATGCTGAGCTGAGGGCTGCTCAAAGCTCTTTGTGTGTATTCAGCCCTGTCATTCTTACAGATGTCAGTGCTATTGGGGTCTGATTTTGTAAACTGGTCTACTGTATGTGAGGGATCATAGTGCAATCATATCATGTCATGAAGACTCCAGCAGCTTCCTATGCCAAACTCAAAGAGTACAATTCAATTATTTGTTAGTCTATCTTTAAAACATTATAATAATAAAAATTGTGTCTTACAGAAAAAAATAGATATGCTTTTGGAGACAGTCTCACTTTGTCACCCTCGGTAGAGTGCTCTGGCATCATAACTCACAGAAACCTCAAACTCTTGGGCTCAAGCAATCCTCTTGCCTCAGCCACTCAATTAGCTGGGATTACAGGTGCCCACCACAATGCCTGGCTATTTTTAGAGACAGGGTCTTGCTCTTGCTCAGGCTGGTCTCAAACTCCTAAGCTCAAGCAATTCACTTAGCTCAGCCTCCCAGAGTGCTAGGATTACAGGCATGAGCCATCACACCAGGCCTCTTACAGGAAAATTTTTATATATTGCATTTATCTTACAACATTGTAAAGTAAGTACGACTATTGCTATTTTACTGATATTTACCTAAAGCTCAAAAAATGGAGTACTTTCCTCATGTCACACAGTTGGTGGCAAAAGAACAGAAGAATGATTTTGCCCAGCTCAAAGCCCAGGCTCTTTCCATTATTCCAGGCTGCTTTAAATATCAAATAGGGTGGTAATGTCCCAGAACAGAAAAAATGTGGAATGCTAAGAGATAAAGGGATTATGGTGTCTATCAAAATAAATAGAGCTGATGATTAAACCATAAAAAAGTCTACGTTGAAAGTAGCTTGCAGTTAAGAACTCAGGTTTAAAGGTGACAGACTTGAGTTTGAGGCCTTTATTTGCTACTTACTATTTACAACAGAAAATATCTTCTAAATTATTAAAATTCTCAAGCCTCAGTTGTCTCATTCAGAGATTGGAGGGATGTACCAGCAACCTCACGGGGTGTTGGGAGGATGAACAGAGATAACTCACGCATTCCCTCCCACTTCTCATGGCACTGGAGATGTACAGTGAAAAAAAAATCAAAGATTCTACCCTCCTAAAGTTAGCATCCCAGCGGACATGGAGCCCTTTGCTTTATTTACGTGAAGGCCTTTTGGTTTAACAAATTAATGAGTACTCACCATTATAATACTATTATACCATAAGAGTATAATGTGCATAGAGGTCACCTGAGGATGCTGGAGATTCTGATTTTGTAGCTCCAGAGAGGAGCCTAAGGTTCTGCATTCCCAGCGAGCTCCCCAGTCCTGTGTCTGCCGGGAGGGCCCCACTCAGAGTGGCAGGGATAGAGCAATCATGACCTCCTTCCAGAAGGAAGCTGAGGGACACCTTCCCTTGATAACTTCATGATGCAAAAGAGATTCATACCTTATCCCCCAAGATATTGACACGTTCAGGCTCGAACTGCTTCCTATCCCCCGATTTCCAGTTTCACAGTCAGAAAGAGGGAAACTTAATGGCCCAAACATAGCAGTTGCTTCTTGCCCCCAAAGCCTCACTCCATACTTGCCATGTTATAAACATGATCTCACTTAATCCCCACGGCAACCTGATGGGGGTGTGTGTGGCTACATCCATTCTATCGGCAAGGAACCTGAGGCGTGACTTAACTTGTCCAATGAAGTTAGGTGGCTGGGATTGGAATAAAGGTCTTTCTGACCCAACAGTGACACTATGGGAGGGAATGTGGTCGTAGGACGACAATTCCTCAGGAACTGCTGTCTGTCACCTTTCTAAGGAACGAATATGGATGCCAGGGGAGACTGACACAATTTAGGAGTTGGTTACAGATAAGGCAGATGATACAGGTGAGGTTACAAAGAGGCAAGGGATGAGAGATGCCTGTTTGGGGAAATGGCCTCTGGGCAGAATAGCTTGTGTGCAATTTTTATCTGCTACAAAAATCTGTCACTATCTTAGTTCCTCAGTGATTCTTCCCCTACCCCAACCCCCGAATGCCAGGACTGTGCAGCTAGAAACCTAAATGGCTTTGCTCACTTTATCTTTAGCTGAATGCAGATGCCTGGGCTTTGTATCAGAACACAATACTCAACAATCATATTAATCGCTTCTTATCTCTGGGTTCTTTTCTGATAAAGTGGTTATCACATTCAAATCAACAGTAAGATTAATTAATCTTGCAGCTGTTTTATATTCTGATTGTCGGGCACTTTGCTCTGAAAGAGAAGGTTTGTTTATTACCAACAGAAGGTGTTCTCAAAAATCCTCCATGAATGAAAGTAGGAAAAGGCAGCCAACCAACCCAATGAGCCAGATTAGACAAAAAAAAAAAAGTTGATCCTGTTTTCAGGTTCTTTGAACAGAACAGAGAACTAAAAAGCCAAGTAAACCAAGCAAAAATAAGAATCAACAAAACCTTTGACCCCCTTGTCATAATTTTAGCAGCTAAAATTGGTAATAGACAACTATTTATTGGGTAACTGCTGTGTACCAAGTTCTTCGCTTGGTTCAGGGAAGATGATGGTGGTAAACAAGACTGGTGGCTGACCACCTGTAAAGAGCACACATGTTGGCTTTCACCTTCATAAACCATACAGTTAACATCATTTAACTTAATTCCTACAATAACTTTATGAGAACGGTTATCCCAGTATAGAGATGAAGAAACTGAGGTTCAGGAAGTGTAAATCCTTAGTCCCGGTTTGCATCTCAGTTAAGCTGCCAGAACAGAGGTCTGTCTAACTCTAAGATGTATGCCTAGGGCAGGGCGAGGTGGCTCCAGCCTTTAATCCTAGTGCTTTGGGAGGCCAAGGCGGGTAGATTGCTTGAGCTCCGGGGTTCAAGACCATCCTGGGCTAGAGCATGACCCCGTCTCTACTAAAAATAGAAAAGCTCCTTGGGCATTGTGGCTGGCACCTGTAGTTCTAGCTACTTGGAAGGCTGAGGCAAGAGGATTGCTCAAACCTAAGAGTTTGAGGTTGCTGTGAGTGATGATGCCACAGCACTCTACCCAGGGTGACAGAGTGAGACTCTGTCTCAAAAATGAAATAATAAAACATAAAATAAAGTAAAATAAAATAACGAAATAAAATGCACCCCTGGAGTCTATTGGCAAAGTTGCCTCCCAGCGTCTCAGGTCTTCCTTTTTCTGGGCCTTGCCCTTCCCTGCCCCCTCCCCCTTCATTCCACTCATTCTTCTGTCCTGATAAGGGGATTGACAGTGAGGTGCTGGTGACTTATCATTTTACTGGTCCCAGTAGCAGCAGTAGTGGTGGCAGTTAGTGCAACCTGCCATTTGCTGAGGCCTCACGTATCCATGCGTCCCCCTGCGTCCATGGCACAGGTTAGCAGATATACTATCCCCATGTTAGAGATGAGGAAACAAGGGCTAAAAATGTGGTGGATGAGATCCAAATTTACAGACTGTTTCTCAATTGAGAAATCAAGTGAGTATGTGAAAGTCATGTTTCATAAATTGCAGAGGGTTCTACCATTATTTGTGTGAGTATTTGTCATAGAAAAGCCGTCTTTTCACGATGCTATGTGGCCACTGAACCAGGCTGACCCATGGCTGCCTTTTAAGAGTAAGTTGAGAGCTAAGAGTGGGTCATGATGAAGCATGGCTTGTTTGAATCACACTGTGTATGACTGAGTGATTGCTTCCTCTGAATAAATGTGATTCAGCTTCTTTAGTACGCTCCAAATGCCTTGTTTTGGAGTTCTGAACCTACAAGATACAGATGCCATAATTCTGTCCCCTTGGAGAGCCCTTGGTAGACGTTGCCAATCAATCACAGCATCATCTACTGAGGCTGCTCTGTGCAGACAGAGCCTGACAGTCTTCAAGTCTAGAAACTGATATCCGTCAATTATATACTAAAATCCAATAGACTGATGGGAGTTGGGACAAGCTAAGTATTTTTCAGAGCGTATTTGGAATTTAATTCTTGACTCTGATTTTGAGGTTTTGGCTTCACTGTAGGTTTTAATGTCAACCACCTGGACATTGCCCCCCGCTATGCCAGCATTCTCATGGGGATTTCAAATGGAGTGGGAACCCTCTCTGGAATGGTCTGTCCCCTAATTGTCGGTGCGATGACCAAGCATAAGGTAATGGTATCTTTTCTGACTGTGAGTGGCCGTGGACTCCACAAGGCCCTCCTCCAGCCTTCCTCCAGCCTGCAAACATGTGTGTCCTTGATCTTGACTGTGTCAGTTGAACTGCTTTTCTCTTTCTTTCTTCTTTTTCTGTTTTTAAAAGCCATTGCTTGTTGCTGGAACTGGGGCTAATTGTTGTTTTATTCCACTTTTCTCAAATGAGAAATAAAAGTTTGGGGAAGAGGATCTAAAGACCACAGGGACTGTTTAGAGATCTAAAGAAGAAACTGAGGTGATCAACTCAGGATAAATGAGTTACCTGAGATTGTTTCATAATTCTAAGTGATGAAACTTTGTTCCCTACTTCTATTGCTTACCATGTTCCAGCATGAAAGTATTAGTGCTGTTATACTTCCTTTTAAGAAGAAAATAAACAACACATTAATGATTCTGAGAATGTACAAGGGTGTGGCATTCAGTTGTTACTGAACCTTTGAGTCTTAGACTAGGGTGGGTAACAGAGGCAGATCACACGATCCATCCAGAATTCATTTACAGCCCACGTGATTTCTTTATCTTTGTCACTGAAAAAATTTCCAGATACTACTTTCTGCAAATAAGAATTTTTTTTGTACTGTACAGTTTTTACCCAACCAGTTTTCTTTCTTTTTTTTTTTTTTTGTGGGATAGCCTATCCTAAATATAATTCTGGAATGTTTCCAGCTTCTTGGAGAAGGAAGTATGAGATAATTTTTCTTCTTGACCGAAAAGAAAGGTAGGATTTGTGGATTTTATAGGCAGAGGATCTAACTTCTCCTTCTCTGTTCATGAAATGGTAGGACCGGCAACATGACTATTAGATCTAAGATGCCGTCTGCCCCTCGCATTAAACACAAATTCCCAGTGTTTTTTGATTTTTACTGTTTTTTACACAGAAAATATGATTACAAATAAGCTTTCAGTATTCAAGAGTGAGCACTGTCTTGGCTCAAATACTGTCATGTATTTTAACAGCAAACAGGAAGGGGACCCCTGATGTCTAACATAGTGGGTTCCCAAAGTAAGTTTAATTTTTTCTCGCCATGTGAGGGGAAACCCTATTAAAGTATTTTAAAAACTGTGCAATGGTGCTGCATGTATTTTTACATATTGTTTATTTTAAAATGTATTTTCTAAATTAAAGAAAATACACATTCATTGTAGTTTCTAACTTTCATATTTATTGTAGTCTTAACTTTCATCTGTTAAGTTTTTCATTTACAGTAAGTGCAGACTCAGGAGGCTGCTTCTGACACGTCCTCTAAAGAAGCACAGCCTTGCCTTGGGGTGGCCAGGTGCTTTTGTCCCAGTGGAGGACATTAGGATACACTGTTTATTTTTTATTTTTTTGAGATAGAGTCTCACTCTGTCACCTTGGGGAGAGTGCCATGGTGTCATAGCTCATAGCAACCCCAAACTCCTGGGTTTGAGTGATCTTCTTAATTTAGCCTCCCAAGTAGTTGGTACCCTATGCCTGGCTAATTTTTCTACTTTTAGTGGAAAAGTGGGTCTTACTTTTGCTCAGGCTGGTCTCAAACTGCTGAGCTCAAGCAATCCACCTGCCTCAGCCTACCAGAGTGCTAGGATTACAGGAGTTAGCCACCATGCTCGGCCTAAGATAGACTGTTCATCTCTGGTTTTGGTTAAAACATTAACTGGCATTTCATTTCCTCGTTTAGACCCGTGAAGAATGGCAGAACGTGTTCCTCATAGCTGCCCTGGTGCATTACAGTGGCGTGATCTTCTATGGGGTCTTTGCCTCTGGGGAGAAACAAGAGTGGGCTGATCCAGAGAATCTCTCCGAGGAGAAATGTGGGATCATTGACCAGGATGAATTAGCTGAGGAGACAGAACTCAACCACGAGAGTTTTGCGAGTCCCAGAAAGAAGATGTCTTATGGAGCCACCACTCAGAACTGTGAGGTCCAGAAGAAGGAATGGAGAGGACAGAGGGCAGCGACCCTTGATGAGGAAGAGCCGACATCCTACCAGAATGAAGAGGGAATCCTCTCAGACACATCCTAATGAATGAAAGGCAGCTCTGTCTTCTCACCTTAGAACATCCTGCTCCCCTCACCATAGCCCTCCTGGCCAGAAGGCCAAACATGGGGACTCTGGAGGTGAGAAGGGGGTGGGAAAGGGGTATAATCCACAACAGAAAAGAGAAATAGAGCTTGGTCTCAGTGATAATATACACATATTTTTTTTAGATTGGCAGGTGACCCTTCTCTTAAAGAGCTGAACTTATTCAGAAAGAAATCACTAAAAGAATAAGGGAAACAATACCTAGTTGTTCAAAGAAGTAGTGAATGAAATGGGAATTTCCATTCTCCTTGGCCTGGAGGACCAAGATGCCACCACATCTCTTAGGTTAGCCATGCAGAGGAGGGGTTCCTAGTCCTAATAAAGGCGACTGCTCCTGGAGGCCCTGTGCTGTGCCAGGTGCTTTATAAACACGCCTCTACAACATACATTTATTATCCCCATTTTATAATTGAGAAAACTAAAAGCAACAAGGCAGTAACTTGTCCAAGGTCATGCTGCCAGGGCTAGTGCTGACATTGGTAAAGACCCAAATAATTGGCACTTTTAGGGAAGAAAACTTTTGCTCAGTGTAGGATGGACATTTTTAATAGTGAAAACTGAAAATGGAATGAATTTGATGGACATTTTTAATAATGAAAACTGAAAATGGAATGGATTTTGTGGGTGATTCCCTATTTTGGCAGGTGTGAGGGATGGGAAACGTTTGGCTGGATGTAGATTCAAACATTCCTGAGGGGGCTAGATTCAAAGACCTTTAGTTATCTGAAGAGCCAAATGGTTCTGTGAATTCATAACTTTTTAAAAAAATAATAAAGGTCACAGACTATATGAGTGATTCAGACAGTTTTTTAAAAAAGAAAGAAAGCTAATTAAAAAAAAAAAAGCCAAATTTCCAGGAATTGGATGGTCAGATTAGCTGAAAAGGAATAAACAAGGGATTGGCTATTAAATGTCAACTATCTGTAATATCACAAATGTGGTTAAATAATGTCACAAATTACATACAAACCATTAAGACATTTAATAATTTAAGAAGTAGGCTCATGTGTTTTATTAGGTGAAATTCTCTTGAAAGTGTCTTGTGTTTAAAAACATGTATGTCTTTAGCCTTTTCTGCTGGGGATTATATTAGAAAGTTTGATCAAATTGTATAAAATTATGATCGAAGTATTCATAATGACTCTAATGGGAATGATATTATAGCAATAGATATACAGGAAAATACTGGAATGAAAACATTTGGTATAACTAAACCTTATAGTTATAGTAAGATGAAAAATTCATCTTTGCATAAGGTAATTACACACATAGTCTCTAGATATATTTGAAATTTTAATGTTGGCATGTAAAGGGTTATTTGAAAATAAAATTATTTTCTTGTTCATTTGTTTTGAAAATTTTATTTCTACTTTCAGAAGAACAAAATAATATCATGAGAAAATTATAGGTTTACTTATATATAGTTTATGAAAGTGTTTTTTTCTCATTTCTCTTATATATATTTTTGGCACCTAATTGTACCAAGGGAGTTTATATATATAAACCTTGGGGAAAAATCTATTGTCTGACTTGCCATTAAATAATATTCTTTATATCATTAATATACAAGTTATATTATCAAACATCTTTAAATCTCTTTAATGAGTTAATCCATGTATGTCCCTTAGAACACTTCCTACAATGTAGAAAGTACTTAACAGCTGTCATCATCATCATCTTTTAACGTTTTTTGGAATTTTTCAGTTGAAAAGGAAGCATGCTATCTACAGTGTTTTTATCCAGTAATCACAGAGCTTCTTGTGAAAGTCGTGCTGTTCTCTAAGTAAAAAATATTAGAAATTTATGACAGCCAGTGTTATATATTTTCTTGTGTTAATAAAGTCAAAAAGCTATATGTAAAAAACCTCTTAATGCTTAGAGTAATATTGTGGATTGTGACAAAAAGTTGTATTTATTCCATCATTTGAAGTTGGTGTCACATGGGGAAATGCCACATTTTGCTCATATCTTGTTCTCATAGTATTTTTTTTTTTTTGATGGTGCTCTGGATTATGATGTTAAAAACTAGAAAATATCTTATCTTTGTTGTGATGAGTTTTTCCTCTGTGTAGGTTGCTTTAGACAAATAATTACATTTTAACACCAGACAGATGCAGTTTGCAAGTCCTTGTACATTTTGCCACAAATGTCCATTTGTAGAGCAACCCTTGGAAGCAGATCATGGATTCTAGCAGGAATGGAAGGAGTCCTGAGGGCTTGGATTCTTGAGACAAGAAAAGTCTGATGATCCTCCCCAAACAATGAAAGTTTTGAAGATTCTTGAATATGACAAAAAGTATTAATTATGCAAGAAAGAAGGGTCCATTTGTTATTGCTACTTGAGGTTAAATTCTGTAGGTGAAGAATTTAAAGGGAGGTCTAATTGGGAAAAAAATCTACCCATTTTTTCCTTACTTTCAGTTGTCTTTTCAGTTCTAGAATTATCATTGCTTCTCTTTCCTTTCTACTATGTCTTTTAAAAAATATTTCCAGGTCAGATGTGGTGGCTAAGGCTTGTAATCCAAGCACTTTGGGTGGCTGAGGCAGGAGGATTGCTTGAGACTAGGAGTTAGAGAACAGCCTGAGCAAGAATGAGATCTCACCTCTACAAAAAACCAGAAAAATTAGCCAGGTGTGGTGGGGCACACCTATAGTCCCAGCTACTTAGGAGGCTGAGGCAGGAGGATCACTTCAGCCTTGACATTTGAGATCGCCATGAACCATGATGACACCACTGTCCACTAGCCTGGGTGACAAAGTAAGACTGTCTTAAAAAAAAGAAGGTCCAGTCCTCTGTTAAAATTTTCAGTCATAGACTATGTATTTTATTTCCTGGAATGGACTAAGCTAATTGTTTTAAAGTCTGACAAATGCTAATACTTGGAGTCTGTATATATTTTCTGTTGGTTTTGCTGGTTCTTGTTTGTTATTATTTCAACTGAGTCTATGCCTGGTTTCCTTGGATGATGTTGGACATTGTATTTGAACAATTTGTTTTAGAAATAATTTAGTCTTAAAAAATATAATTCTTTTCCTCCTTCAGGTAGGTTTTTGTTTACTTCTTCCAGGAACTCAAGGACTTAGTAATCTGGAATCACCTTAGTCCTGTTGCAGGGCCTGAGATATTCTGGGCCATCCAGGTGATTTGAAGTGGGGTAACAGGCTGTGTGAAAGCTCTTTCCCTCCAATTCACCCTTACTCCTACAGTATAGCATGTAAGGGTACCAACCCAGATTCCAACTTTTGTCCCCCTACCAAGCTATCAAATATTGGCTTTGTCAAATACAGAAACAAAAAATGCTTTCAGGAGAAAGTGGCCTCCAATGTTGAGTTCACTTCTCCAGATTTATCTTCTCTGATGGTCAGATGGTAGCCTCAAACTTTTTCACTATCATGTAGGTTTTCCAATGCTTTTGAGCAGAATTTAAAAAAAAAAAGTTTGTTTAACTTTCCTAGCATGAGGCTTGGCACCTGTGGCTCAAGTGGCTAAGGCACCAGCCACATACACCTAAGGTGGCAGGTTCGAATCCAGCCTGGGCCCGCCAAACAACAATGATGGCTGCAACCAAAAAATAGCCAGGCGTTGTGGTAGGCGCCTGTGGTCCCAGCTACTTGGGAGGTGGAGGCAGGAGACTCGCTTAAGCCCAGGAGTTGGAGGTTGCTGTGAGCTGTGATGCCACAGCACTCTACCCAGGGGGACAGCTTGAGGCTCTGTCTCAAAAAAACAAAACAAAACAAAAAACGAAAAAACTTTCCTAGCATGAAAGTTGGTCTGAGTGACAAAGTCTGCCATTAATGGACACTGAAATCTCTTAATTTTACTTTCACAAATTCTCCCAAACTGACCTATTTCCCTAGGGATAGTGTGGCAATAAATCCCACCCCAAATCTCAGTGGTTCAGATAGCAAATGGTCAGTTCCCTCTTGTCTTACAGCTTGAGTGTGGCTCGGACTGGGGGTAGAGTAGAGATTTGTTCCACACAGCCACTCAGGTATCCAGGATTCACTTTTCTCCAGTCACCATCTTGTAGTTAACTATTTGAAACATATGAACTCTGACATCACCACAAAAAGGGAAGGAGAAAGGAGGCACACTGGGTTTTCACCGCTTCTCCTGGAAATACTGCTGTCACTTTTGGTCCTTGCCTATTGCCCTACACTAGCCATGTAACCCTAACCTAACTTCAAGGGTGGCTGGAGATAAAAGGGGGCATGTAGGTTACTGAGTAAGCACTAATTAACCTGCCACTCAGCTCTAGCCTTGTTTCAGGGTCTGATGAATCCTCACGTAGCATGTGGAAATACTTTCCTTACCCCCATGTGTCATAAATGATGTTATGCTGCTCTATAGTATGTGATATTGTGAGAGATCTGAAAACTAGGTTGTAGGGAGCAAATCTGTGTATGGGAAGGAGTATCGAGTCCCCTCCAGGAGAGACCAGAGGCCTCCAAAACCTCAATTGACTAGAATAGAATAAATTCTGACCTGGTTCAAACTTGAGTTAATAACCACATGGGCTAAACTGATAGGGAAGTTAAATTTACCTTTAGATCACATGTAGTACAGTGTCCTAGGCCTTATACCTAATCTCCATATATAATCTCATTTAATTCTCATGGTAACCCAATGAAAAAGACTCAATGATTTCTTCCCAAGCACTATAAATAAAATGGTAATCTCAGAGCAAAATTTAAACTCAAATCCCTAAAGGCCATATGTTAAACTTAATTCTTATGAATAATTTAATCTTATTCTTAATTTTTAAATTCTTCATTGATCCTTATGTGTAATCAAGATCAGAGGCATAGTTAATCTAATTTTAATTAAATTATATTCTTAATTTTTAATCTGTTCTCCACCGCTTCTCCTGGCTGGCAATTTTTCCAGACAATGGTGCTCCCCAAATCAAGAGAGTGCCCCAGTTATTTCAGTGAAGTGTGATAGATCTGCTGGAATGAGCTCTGGCAGTTTAGTCCAGACCCAGGGATAGGGACAAGTTAAAAACCAGATGAGCATGTGAGATCCCTATGCTCACTTACTGCAGGTCTGGAATGAGACTTGGGAGCCTCATTGGGCTTGGGTTG